AAAAAAAAAAAAAAGTAAGAAAAACTCCTCTCAGGTAATACTACCGTAATATCTACTAAATAAGTAGCGTGAAGTATGGATCCATGCAAACGAATACTACATGGTACATACCACCGTGTGTACATAATTAATGTTATGTAATATGTACACCTGACGAGAATGCATCCCAAAAAGGAATGATTCTAAGGTCACCTTTTGACTAGTGCCCTCAAAATTCGGTGATAGTTGAATGAATGGATTAAAGAAAAAAAAAAAAAAGGGTCAATGTCATCAGATCCCTACTCCGTAGTATGTCGAGAAGAATGAACAGTCTCCGCTCTTTTTCTCCTCTTTTTTTTTTTACTCGACGATCGCTGCAGGTTGATTTGCCCCTCCTCATTGCATCTCCAACAGCCTATCTCCATCTTTTCCCCTCCATCCTTTCCTCGCACGTTATCTGCATCATGAACGCACTGACCTTTCTTTGCAACGTTCACTTCTTGGAAGCCAGAACATGAAGAAAGGCAAAGAGAAAGTAACGCGGATGTAATTAGCTGTCCCTTCATGACTGGCGACAAATCTACTCGTAATGATCAAGCCATGTTCTTTACCCTTAAAGCACTAAGGCAGAGAGTACGAGAAGTGGACTGTGTTCTCCACATTATCATTTCCCCTCCGAGGTAATTGCACATAGTAGATGTCTTGTTCGGCTGTTGTTTACGGTCAGAGTGTCAGAGAGAAGCTGCTGTCCTGCTACCCTTCCCCCTTTTAGCTCCTTGCATTGTCGGAGATAAAGCTGTTCAACATTGCGATAAATGTACCAAAGAATTTCAGAAGGGGAGGACCACCAAAAAGAAAATAATGAAAGGAATTCGAAAAGTGAAAAAAAGAAAAAGAAAAAAGAAAAAAGCAGAGGAAAAATGGCAAGTTGTGGCTAGTGAACGGTGACCGGTGGTTCAGACAGCACAGCAAAGGCCAATGGCGGGTGCAGATACCAAGTCAGTGACCCCCCCATCAAAAGTCCCACTTTTGCAAGAAGTAGTAAATTACCCAAAACTTAACTGAAGGGAACTGCCACCATCTCTTTCCCTACTCTTTCTCTCGACCTCTCCCAACCAAACGCTGTCCAGTTTAGACCGTCATTTTTTCCCCTTCTTTTTTCCTTTCTCTTTCTCTCTTCACCTTTATTCTTACTTATCCTTTCCCTCGGAAATTTCTCCCTCCCGATCACGGTGCGTAATTGACCACCGACTCGGGTATTCCTTTTTTTTTTTTTTTCTTCTTTTCATACTCTCCCGCAGCCGTTGTTCTTGAGGTTCTGCGACGTGCTTGAGCCTGTTGCTTGTTCGATCGGTCGCGACCCATCTAGCCCACGATGGACGGTGGCCAGACCACAACCAATACCGCCCCCGCGGGCAACTCCAGCGATTTTGTAAGTGTTGATCTTTTTGACAATGATATCGATGATATTGTTGCTCTTTATTATTCTTATATTATTGTTACTCTATTATTTCTTTTGTCTTGATCAAATAGCTACACTATCCGGTCACAATCACTGACAGAATGCATAGGTGCGGAAACTTTACAAGTGAGTTTGATCTTCTCCTTTTTGTCACCCCCCCTCCGAGCTCTCCCGTCAACCCGACTCATTGCGACTCTACGCTCTCCCGTTCAAGATGCTCTCGCTTAGGACTTGGACGGCTTCTTCCTTTCTCGATCTGATCACTGACCTTTCTTTCCCAGAATGCTGGAGGATCCGTCCTACGCGGAGATTGTGCGGTGGGGTGATGAAGGGGACAGTTTTGTCGTCTTGGAGGTAATGCACGCCCTCGTGCCTTGGAAAGTTACGGTCGCTGTTCTCCTGCTAATCGATCCAAACCTGGCCGCAGTGCGAAAAATTTACGAAAACCATCCTCCCTAAACACTTCAAACATAGCAACTTCGCCAGCTTTGTACGACAACTAAACAAATACGACTTCCACAAAGTGAGACAAAATAATGAAGAGAATGGGCAATCACCGTACGGCCAGAATGTAAGACTGCGATACTTGGCACTGGTGGCTTCACAGGGTTCTGACCAGGAATCTAGGCGTGGGAATTCAAGCACCCCGAATTCCGAGCGAATAGCAAAGAATCACTTGACAATATTCGACGGAAGGCGCCTGCCCCTCGGAAACAGGCCCAGAACAACGAAGACTCCGTTCCAACGCAACAGATCGATCTTTTAAACCAGCAAATAGTGGCGCAGCAACAACAAATTCAGCATCTCTCTGATCGTTATGCACAGTTAACTGTCGACCATCAGATCATGCTGCAGGAGGTTATGAGAGTGCAGAAAACAGTCCTCAACCATGAACATGTCATCCATCAACTGATGACATATCTACTATCAGTGGATGCTCGTCAACGGCGAGACAGTAAAGCGTCCGGACCTTTTGCGCAAGGTCAAGGGGGTTCGAGCTTAAGCCCTTCCCAGGTGGCGTCGATGGACGATGAGCCTTCGTCGCCCTTGCAGCACGCCTCGAAGCTTCTCAGCGATATGAATGCCGAAATTCAGTTCAATCTCGGCGGCCTTGATTCGTTAGGGGAGCCACCCAAAACAGGTCCCGTCGTGGCCACCACGCCCGCAATGGATGCTGCCCCGCGGAATGGGGTGGTGCGACCGCCGAATGCAGCCGCTGCGACCCCTGCAAACCCAACCAACCCGACGAATACCGCGGCCACAGCCTTAGTATATCCAAAGATGAACGGCGAGATTGAACCTGTCGTGTACCCTGTGGGTGCTACTAATGGTATCGATCCGATGTACAGCGAGCATGTTAATAATGTGCCATACCCAATGCCGCCCAAGCAAGAAGTCGACGACGCTCGGAGACAGTTCGCAGACAATCGGAAGAAGAGTACGAATGTTGATCCGGGTTGGATGCGTAGTCCGCATATCTTGCTAGTTGAAGATGATGCGACGTGTCGTCAAATTGGCGGAAAGTTTCTATACTCCTTTTCTTGTGTCATTGATACTGCTGTAAGTTGGCTGCACAGGTCATCTTTCCAAGTCTGGTACCCTGACTGATGGGAACGTAGTTCGACGGACTCGAGGCGGTGAACAAAATACAAGATGGTTCGAAGTACGATCTTATTCTGATGGATATAATTATGCCCAACCTGGACGGTGTCTCCGCATGCCATCTCATTCGGCAGTTTGATAGGACGCCGATCATTGCCATGACATCCAACATCCGGAGTGATGACATTCAGCTTTACTTCCAGCACGGTATGTTAATCCGGTACTAGGAGCGGGCTCCACCACTATCCTGCTAACGTTGACCAGGAATGGACGATGTTCTTCCCAAGCCCTTCACGCGAAAGAGTCTTTTGGATATGTTAGAAAAGCACCTGGTTCATCTGAAGACCATGCCGCAAGGCATGGAGCCCGCCCAACCCACGGCGGCGGTTACAATGGCTGCGCAGAGCTCGGCAGCCCAATCTGTCAAAGAGGATAGTTCTCCCAGCCAGTCGCCAGCTACATCCATAAACAATTGGCAAACGCCCGGCCAATTCCAGGGCATGACCGCAGTTCACCCTAACCTGCAAGGTCAATATGTACCTGCAACTCCTGCTACTGCCGCTGCATATGCGGTAGACCAAAATGGGGTGCAGTATCCGACAGCTCCTGTGGCCCTCACGGCTGCGGCTGCAGCACGGCCGCAACCACGACGGCAGGTCTCCGACATGGCCAGTGCTGCCGAAAACCCCAATCTCGCCAAGCGTCAGCGTGTATATGCGCCCCAACCTCAAGCGATGGTCAATCCCGTACAGGCTGCACGGACTGGCTGAGCCTCGCCATCTCCCCAATGCTGTATATCTCTCAATCATCAAACTAACAAACTACCTCTTTTGCATTCCTCTCCGTGTATCCTCAATCACTATATTCCCCCTTCATGATTGCTATCTTGGTTATAATGAGATCTCTACCCGTACGATACCGTTGACCCTTGGGTGGACTTTTTGATAGCTTACGGCGTTTGAGGCCTTCGGTTGTTTGTCTTTTGTTTCTCGCGGATACTCTCAGCAGAAATGTTCGTGTCATTTATAAAGGGATATAAGGGAGTTGAACCATATTAGGGCCCGGGCATTCAGACTGGTTTGGTGTACTGTTGCTGTAATTACTTGAACATGTTACGTGGGTAAAATTGTCCTTCGAGTGGGATATCCACGTTGGCGCAATTTATGATGTTTCGCCTTGGAACACAATTTGATGGTGCTTACATACTAGCTAGCTGTAGTTACCTACTAAAAATACAGAACAGACGCATCCATTCACCTATCATTCTTCAGATCAGTCATCCCGCAATATATCCTCCACTCAGAAGCCCTTGCTACAACTGCGCACACGTACATAAGTGGGTATGCTGCGTACTACTACCCCAGCCCCAGACGGACCGGGTAATCCACAGGAGCTTGGGAGCTTCCGATTGCCCTTCGGTTCGGGGGAAAGATACCATCTGATCGAAACTCCTATTTAATTTGACTTACTCAGGACAATAAAGAGGCATATTAAGGTTCTAGACCGTTGGTTCCTGAACAAGGGATATTACAAGAAGTCCAGGAGGGCCTGGGCCTCGAAAGGTGTTCTGGACTCTTTGGGGCTGAAGCTGTCCTCCAGGTTGTGTGTGGCTAATGTTACCCGTCACGTGTATCACGTGATATGAACAGAAACTTGGGCAGCAAACCTCGCAAACAGAACAAACATGCAAAAAAAAAGGACCGGGAGTGGGATGAATCACTCAATATGGCTTGGCGGAGTTTTTGCGTCGAGGGGAACCGGAAATAATTCCTTTAGGTTGTGCAAGCGGATTCATTGTTGATTTTCGGTTTCTTTGTGGGCCCATTTATTGCCTGGGCTTCTTAACCACAATCCATCCACTCTTGCTAGACTTTTTGCAGGAATATCTGGCCTTCCAGTGAGGTGGGGGAAATCAGTTACTCAGTGAGTCGCAGTATGTGGCAGTCGATCTTTCCGCGCAACTCACGCTTACCATTGATTTAGGAGATGGGTCCGAAACAGAAAGGCGGTGGCTCCAAACAGAGGGGAAATGCTGCGGAGGAAGTAGAGGAGACGTTGCAGGCTGTTGTATGTTATCATTCTGAAAATTCACTCTTGCGACAGCCGACTATTATAGGACGGCGGGGTGCATGATGATCGTGTGGCTAATGCTTTGATGTTGCTTAGGTTCTTGCCGACACCTTCGAGACGAGATTTGAGCCGTTCACTCTCGACAAGCCTCGGGTATGTAGTTAAAACAAGCTATTGATGCCAGGACGGATGTTGCGGGGAAAACACACAGTGATGGGTCATGGGCTGACACGGACGGTGGCAGTGTCTTTTACCGCTAGCGAATACCCCTTTGATTGAGTATACATTGGAGTTCCTTGCGAATGCCGGTGTCGAAGATGTGTTCCTATACGGCGGAGCACACTCGGATCAGTTGGAGAAGTATATTAAGTACGTGGATGACGCTCTCTCCTCTGCGTACGCAGTTCAACGTGGTACTAATTCTACGGTGCTTTAGTGCGTCAAAATGGAGATCGCCATCATCGCCGTTCAAGCAATTGGCTTTCCTCAAGTCCACTTCTACCTCCGTCGGCGACGTCATGCGCGATCTGGATGGAAAACATCTTATTACCGGAGATTTCATCGTTGTGAGCGGAGATGTCATCAGCAACCTGCCTATTGAAGGTGCTTTGACCCAACATCGGGCTCGTCGTGCAGCAAACAAGGATGCCATTATGACCATGGTCTTGCGGGAGGCCGGCAGAAATCATAGAACCAAGTCTTCGTCTTCTTCGCCCGTCTTCATCATTGATCCTACGAAGGATCGCTGTCTACATTACGAGGAGATTGATCACCATTCGCGGGAGACGACCCGTCTCAATATCGACTCGGAGATCATTCTTGAGAACGCAGAGCTAGATATCCGCCAGGATCTGATCGACTGCAGCATCGATATTTGCACACCTGACGTGCTGAGTCTTTGGTCCGACAGTTTCGATTATCAAACACCTCGGACGCAATTCTTGTATGGTGTGCTGAAAGATTACGAGCTGAATGGAAAGACGATCCACACACATATCGTCAAGGATCACTATGCGGCTAGAGTGAGGAACTTGAAGGCGTACGATGCCGTTACCAAGGATGTCATTTCAAGGTGGGCGTACCCTCTGTGCCCTGACACAAACCTGCTACCGGGCCACAACTACGAACTTCGGAAAGGAAACCTATACCAGGAGCAGGGTGTGACCTTGGCTCGTTCATGTGTTATTGGCCGGCGGACGGTTATTGGACAAGGCACAAGCATCGGAGACAAGACGACAGTCAAGGATACGGTTCTGGGAAGGAACTGCAAGATTGGTAAAAATGTCACTTTAGACGGTGCCTACATTTGGGATGGTGCTGTGATTGGCGACGGTACAACTGTACGCCACGCTATTGTTGCAGATAACGTCCAAGTTGGTAGCAAGTGCACCGTCGAGCCTGGGGCTCTCCTCTCATTTGGAGTGAAGATCGCAGACGGAATGACCGTCAGCGAAGGCAAGCGCATTACCAACGCCCCTAGGGAGGAAGACGGGGGTGTGCCGGAAAGTGAACCGGAAGTCGTCGGTGAAGGCGGCAAGGGTTATGAATACGTCCCCTACGAAGATGAGGATGACTCGGATACCGAGAGCAATGCCTCGTCAGGACTGGGTACGTTTCCTTGTCCACCGACTCCCAGGTCCATTAAAGCTAACAGATTCTTTCCGCAGTTTACAATATGGCGCAACTTTCGCTCTCCACAGATTCCATCTCGACTCTTTCATCTGAGGTCTCAGACTACGGCCACTCTCGTTCAGGAAGCTTTAGCAGCTCAGGCGGTGACGATGACGAAGAACATTTCGTTCATGACGCCGCAACCAGTGTCTATGACAGCTTGCGCGATGGCGTCACATCAGATGTGGTGCAGCTGGAACTGGTCAGTCTACGTATGACAGCCAACGCGTCTGATCACCAAGTTCGACGCGCCGTGGTGTCGGCTTTCATGAAGCGTACTCAGCAATTGATGGAAGGTGGAAAGGGAGCAGGCGACATCGTTAGGGAGCTCTTTGGCAAGTATCGTGAGATTATCGAACGGTCCCTGTTCGACCGCGACCGCGATGCGAAGCCTGATCAAGTCGACCTACTACTTTTGTTTCAACAAGATCTCGTTCACCGCAACCGTGGCGATACCGTCCTCTTGTTTGTTGCTAAGGAATTATATGACCTAGAGATCCTAGAAGAGGAGGCATACGAGCAGTGGTGGGATGATGAGAGGTCCTCGAGTACTGACGAGATGAAACAAGTGCGCAGCCAGACCCAACAATTCGTGGACTGGCTGGCAAACGCTGAAGAAGAGGAAAGTAGCGAGGAAGAGGATGACGACGACGAAGAGGAGAGCGATGATGAGTGATCTGATATAGAATTGGAACGTGTTATGAAACGCGGATAAACAAAAAATGAACCGTTATGAGTGAAAATACAATGCATTGCGAGATATCAGAATACTTAAGCATAGCACTAGTAGTATTATAACTCAACCACTGGAAGAGGAACAACATGACTGGTTTGTCTGCCTGGTGGCTGCCTAAGGCTGTTGTTTTCAGTCATTTGCTCAGGTCATTAGGTTGAGTCACGTTTGGTTAGGGCTCCATCATAGTTCTACATAGTATAACAGAAATGACCAAGAGATCTTTGACGGAGAGACAATCTGACATCATTAGTGCTCTTCGATCTATTTATGCCAGCGAACCAAGATCAACCATCTATCATACGGCCACCTCCGAGCCTGACAATGATCCAGTTCCAATCAAAGACATCATAAAATTGGGACTACAACATTGCTTCATTGCTCTTACCCGCTTTAGGTTGCCTTTTTGCTGCCTTCCCCCACACGGAGATTCCGTGGCATTAGCACCTAGTCATCGGAAACCTCTCATACTGGCACGCCCTTATAAAACTGTAAACTTGTCTGCTTAGCAATCCCGCCACTGATTGAAAATTTTTCTTTTTCTTGTTTTTTTCTATTTACTTTTTTTTTTCAGTCACTTCCGAAGCAACCTCTTTTTGACCCCAGACTACAGATTTGGGTAAACACTGAAGCTCAGCTTTCCATTTCCCGTTGTTCTCGGGAATACCGCGCTCTAGTGCAATTTTACCCCCCCCAAAAAAGGAGAGGAACAAACCTGAGGCTTGTTCTTCCTAAGGCTCCCCCACTCTCCCCGTGACGTCCGTCCGTCTCCCGTCCCTAGTTACATACATCCACACCCCTCTCCTCTCTCCCCAAGGCCCAAAAGGTGCCAGCGTCGATAAGCTATTCACGCCCAACTATTGATCGCCTGAGAGCTAGTGCATGGTCCTGCTTCTGTTACTGCGCACACCAATCTCTCAGTCCGCCCTTCGTGTTCCTCATCACCTATTCCATCTATCAGCCCTCCCTAGGTTGATCACCCACCTTTGGTAAGCTGCGCCTTGTGTTGTCTCGGAAAAAAAGAGAAGGTCTCGACGTTAGATCTCGGGACCTACTTTTTTTTTCGTGTCAGCACATACCGGCTTGCCGCAACACCACTGCTTTCACCACGCCTCCTCAAACAAGGAAGCGCAAGGCGGCCGAGGCGGCGATAACAGACAATCACTCCGCCACCAAGGATTCCGTCGCCCGTTCGCAAGCCGCCACTGGATCTCCTCCCCGGAAGTCTGCTCGCAAGACGAAAGTAGAATCTCCTGATATCGCCGAACTTGATCCCACCCCCGATCTGACCTCTGTCGTGTCAGGGGTGCTCACGGTTTCCGCGGAAAACAAAGGCCCTGATTTGGTTACGCCGGCGTCGACCAGTATGGAGTCTGATGATGATTTTATGAGCGTTGCCTCCAGCGCCGATGACTTTTTGGATACCCAGGCGAGTGATGATGAGAGTATAGGGGAAGGTACGTAATGTTGCGGCTCGGCTTGTGACAACTTTTGAAGGTGATCATGACCAGATGCTGACGTTGCTTCTTTTTTGCTATCAGTGGATTTCGGTGATGATTTCGACGGCGGCTTCTCGAAAGATAAAGACATTGTCGCAACCTCACGAAGACCTTACGAAGTTGAATTCAAGGTCCTAAGCCCGGATGACATCGATCGGGATCAGAATCAACAGATCAACGAAGTCTCATCGATATTAAGTCTCCCGCCGGAATCTTCCGCCATTCTTCTACGATATGGACGATGGAATCGGGAAAAGCTTATTGAGGGCTACATGGATCACCCCGAAGAAACCCTGGAGGAGGCCGGCTTAGGGACGAACTTTGAAGGCACACCAAAGACTGAAATAGTACCTGGATTCGTGTGCGAGATTTGCTGTGAAGATGGCGATAACCTGGAGACTTACGCTATGCGATGTGGACATCGTTTTTGTGTCGAATGCTACCGCCACTACCTTGCGCAAAAAATTCGTGGGGAAGGAGAAGCGGCCAGGATAGAGTGTCCGGGTGATGGCTGTAATATGATTGTGGATTCTAAGTCGTTGAGCCTGCTTGTCAAACCTGACCTCAAGGACAGGTGAGTCCGCTTAGCTTGGATGCAGGTGGATACCATCGCTAACTTCCTCTCAGGTATTACACCCTCTTACAAAGAACCTATGTCGATGACAAGGAGAATCTTAAATGGTGCCCAGCTCCCAACTGTGAATACGCTGTTGATTGCCCGGTCAAGCAGCGCGACCTCCGTCGCATTGTACCCACCGTACAATGTAACTGCAAGCATCATTTCTGCTTTGGTTGCACACTTAACGACCATCAACCAGCACCTTGCCAGCTGGTCAAAATGTGGCTCAAAAAGTGTGAGGACGATTCGGAAACAGCCAACTGGATCTCAGCCAACACAAAAGAGTGCCCGAAGTGCCACTCGACGATTGAGAAGAATGGAGGTTGCAACCATATGACGTGCCGCAAATGCAAGCATGAGTTCTGCTGGATGTGCATGGGTCTTTGGTCCGAGCACGGCACTAGCTGGTATAATTGTAACCGTTATGAAGAGAAATCGGGATCTGAGGCCCGCACTGCACAGGCGAAGTCCCGAGCCTCACTGGAGCGATATCTCCATTACTACAACCGATATGCGAACCATGAGCAATCGGCCAAGCTCGACAAGGACCTCTACCTAAAGACAGAAAAGAAGATGACGAGCCTGCAGTCACAATCAGGTTTATCGTGGATCGAAGTTCAGTTCCTCGACACCGCATCTCAAGCACTTCAACAATGCCGACAGACTCTGAAGTGGACCTACGCTTTTGCCTACTACCTTGCACGTAACAACCTGACCGAGATCTTCGAAGATAACCAGAAAGATTTGGAGCTCGCAGTGGAGAACCTCAGCGAGATGTTTGAGAAGCCTGTACCCGAACTAGCGAACCTCAAGGTGGATATCTTGGATAAAACGGCCTATTGTAACAAACGGCGAGTGATTTTATTGAGCGACACTGCCGAAAATTTGAAAAATGGTATGCACTCTGTCCTGAACCCCAGTGAATTTGGCTGTTGAAAACTGACTGGTGTGTCTCTCCAGGTGAATGGTCTTTTAACGTGGACTGGTAGATTAGAGCGAATCGTATAGAAGGGAACGGGCTTAACCACTGGTGGTCTCCCGCGACCATCGCAAAAGACCCAGTCATTCTTTTGCTTTAACGACGTGCATGACAGCGCATATGAATTCTCTGCGGGAAAGTTTCACTGTGAACATTTAAGAGGAGCTTTTCGCGGGTGTTATTTGCATGGTGATTTACTTTGATTGTATCAATTATCATCTCTATAGGGGAACATTTACATTTATATTCAATTCTACCATTGTACTTGACATCTTGGGCGGATATGTATGGTACTGCATCTATTTTCTTTTTGCGTTATTTTTGCTTTTTTTTGTTCCGTTTTTCTCATTGTCCAAGTATCCATGTCCACATTAGCATCTTGGTATATAGGTAAGGAATAGTAAAACACCACGTAGATGTGGAATCCGCGGAAATGCCCGACGCAAAAAGGACTCATGGTTGCCTAACCAGGAAGCACATACCGCGGAGTAGGGACTACACTCCGTAAGAACCCCAGACAATATAGTTTTACCTCATTTGTACTAACGGAGAAAGGCTCAAGAAACTACTTGAATTATACATTAGTCACTTAAATGTCATGCAAATACTTTACACACAGGATCCCCGGTGAGCCGCGGTAGTTCGCTTAGGGTTACAATCCTGACTGAAGAAAGAAGGAGTAGGGACAAATCAGAAAGGAGGACCGCGGGAAAGAAACGATGGAGCCCAAAAGGATGAGGCATGGATCAGATAAGAAAAATCAGAAAAGGGAATAGTGGCCTTCCTCTCTCGGTGACTTTTAGGAGAGCTTCCTCGGCGGAAGGACGGGCCATTCCTCCGTCATTCGGCACTTCTGCTTCCTCTGTTAGTCGGGTGTGGCAATCTTGTCTGGTTCTTTTTGACCTCTTCTCCTTTGTCTTGGGTGGTTTGGAATTGACCCGGAGGAGTTTCGGAAAGGGTACGAGTCAACTTGAAAAAAAAGGTCAACTGGTGTCAAATGTCACTGGTTGGGATGTGCTGGTTGAGGGTTATAAACTCCGTCATCGGACCACGCCGGTCGCTGATCCCGGTTTGTTTTAGTCTAGCCGGGGAAAGCTGATTCAGCAGGCAAAATTTCCCAAGTTGACATACCTTAAAACTAATATTTTTTTTATTAACGGAAGGTTCAGCTGGAGAGACGGAGAGAGAGAGCGCTGTACTTTCGAGAAGGGGAAAATCAAGTAGAACGAGGGAGGAAGACTGAGGCGAACAGTAAATCCAATAACATACAAATCAACACCAGAAAATGTAAATTGATTCTACGTGCTAGGAAAGAAAATTCCATAGAGGTTCCCTGGGTGTTTCTATTAATCTAAAATGGATCAGATAACATTTAATCGACCTCCATTTATCCAGCATTCGTCGAGCCGACCGAAAGGACTTCCATTCTGGGTAACAACTTCTTATCCCCGACTTAAACATTTTATTTTATTTTATTTCTTCCCTCCCTCTTTCACATCCTCTCAACTCATCATAATTTTTTTTTTTTATCTTCGTCCCCCTTCCTCCTGTCACATTGATCCTTTTACATTCCTCTGGTGGTTAAGACAGGTCTCTTCCGCTATACTTCTTTTTCCTCCTTGTTGTTTTTCCCTTCCTCGGAATCGGCCCTACTGATTTACCTCTCCACTCCGCAACCTGGTCCCGGTTTCTTCGGTATTATCTTTTCGACCTTCACAACAGTGACGCCTCACCCACTACCGCGCGCCCTTTCCTCTTTCCCTCCCTCCTAACCCTTCTCCCTCTTTGCGGCTCCGGCTGCGTCTGGAGCTACAGCAGCTCGATGGCGGTCTCCGAACAAATCCCCGGGCAGGAGTTAGAGTATGAGTAGGTGTTTTTTTTTTCCCGCAAAACCCGCCTCAACTTTTTTCGGCCTGGTCAATCGTTCGAAGAGAAGCATAGGGAGTGGCTAAAATCATTGCGATGTTTTCATACCACGCTCTTTCGCCTCTATTGCCCGATTGCCAGGATGCCTTTCCCAGGCGTCGGCCGGCTTTTTTTTTTTATAAAATTATATAGAGACTTCCGAGGCTAATTGTACTGTTACGATAGCTACGAAGCCCTCCCGTCTAACTATGGCCTCGGCCGGAATATGCTGGCTGGTGCCTTTGCAGGGATAGCGGTATGTGTGCAAGAGCATGGGTTATAATCGTGGATGGTCGGTCCCGTACTGACAAAGGTTAAGGAACATGCTGTCATGTATCCGGTGGACTTGTTGAAGGTATGTTGAGTCAATGCTAGTTCTTTCTCTGCGTTGCGCAAGTTTTGCGTTGTGGCGGGTTGCAAAAGCAGGCAAATACTGACACCGGATGCCTACGCTAGACTCGCATGCAAATCCTGCATCCTGCGAACGGCGGACTCTACACAGGCCTCACTAATGCGTTTTCCACGATTTACCGAATTGAGGGCTGGCGGACATTATGGAAGGGTGTTTCAAGCGTTATTGTCGGTGCTGGTAAGCGGAGCCGGTGGCATACAGAGAGAGATGTCTACTCGGAGGTGTCGGAGGCTGATGTGAAATTCCCGAACAGGCCCCGCCCACGCTGTCTACTTTGGTACATATGAAATTGTAAAGGATCTTGCCGGTGGCAATGTTGATGACGGTCACCATCCCCTTGCTGCAGGTAAGTCACTGATGAGGTTATGGTTGTGTCATTAAGTTGGTTACTAACGTGGAACAGCCCTGAGTGGTGCCTCGGCGACCATTGCCAGTGACGCTTTGATGAATCCCTTCGATGGTGAGTAACCCGCGACCCCAGTACCACCAAGAAAAAAAAAATTTAATTAAATTAAATTAAAATATACCCCGAAGCTTCACTGTATACTAATTGAAAACACAGTGATTAAGCAACGTATGCAAGTTCATGGCTCGGTACACAAGACTATCCTTCAATGCGCCCGGTCTGTCTACCGAACGGAAGGTCTTCAGGCCTTCTACGTTTCCTATCCTACCACACTCTGTATGACCGTCCCCTTCACCGCTACACAGTTCGTTGCCTATGAGTCCATTTCTAAGGTGATGAACCCCTCCGGGGATTACGACCCGTTCACCCACTGCATGGCAGGTGGTCTCGCAGGCGCTTTCGCAGCTGGTCTCACGACACCACTCGACGTGGTCAAGACGCTCCTCCAGACCCGCGGTTTGGCACAGAACGAGGAAATTCGGTCGGCGAAGGGTCTTTTTAACGCCGCATCCATTATCAAGCGGCAGTTCGGTTGGCGTGGTTTCCTGCGTGGCGCCCGTCCCCGTATCATTTCTACGATGCCCAGCACAGCCATTTGCTGGTGAGTGAATATTTATCCCCCCGGCCCCTCCTTTTCCTTGGTGTCCAAATCCCCCGTTACTGTATTGTGTTTTGACTGACAATTTCATACAAAAGGACCTCTTATGAGATGGCCAAGGCGTACTTCAAGCGCCAGGAGGTCGCCTAATAAATGTGTCTTTTTCCCCACTGGCCCGATCGCATGGATTCGACTTCCACATTACCCATCATAAATCTCCGTCCTGGGGCCTCGTGTAAGGCCTCCCGCGACCAACAGAACAATGATCAAAACAACTTAAAATAAATTTTCTCTAAAAAAAAACTATAATAAGAAGGCCGGTTGATAGCGGCCACGTGTCACGTGCGAAGGGCGGAAATGCGACACAGAGGAGAATTCTAAGCCATGTTGCGGGCAGAGTTCCCTGGCGTGGGTGGCGGCGTTCATACTCTCGATTCTCTTTGTTACCTCTCTATGCTGATTCTTCTGCTCTCACGCGTGCGCTCCGTTTCTCCCATTACCGGTTTTTTCGGATGTACACGAAATGTCCAAGACATTCGGAGGCGGAAAATTCTGGCTGGAACCACAGCGGATGAGGCGGAGCGAGGACGTCTTACCCTTTCTTCGGTACCTCTTTTCACCTTTGGTCATCAGGTTTCATTTTCGTGGTTGGTCATGGTTGATATACACCTTGTGGGACGGATTGTGTCGGGAAAAGTGCGAGAGCTTTTCTTGGATCGCCCTATGTATGCTATATTTGTACCGGCGTTGACACGCAAGGGAAGTGTTTCTGGAGGCTTTGTTCCTTTTCTCTTATGGTTCTATTTTCTTCATTTGATTGACTTCCGAATCTTGGAATATTTCTTCTGATATATTACGCATTTGGAACCCATGTATACATAGACGGGATATGATATGGCAGGCAGTTACTTGAGTTAGTACACCAGCCAAGCTGAGCTGGCGCAGATATCCATTTTCGTTAATATAAAGGATTGACACTCGACTCCACTCTGGGGACCAGCCAAAAAAAAAATTAAATAAGTAAATAAAAAACAACAATAATAATAATAATAATAATAATAATAATAATAATAATAATAGTAATAATAATAATAGTTATAGTAATAATAGTAATGATTAATAAATAAATGTCGAAAGAAAAGAGAGTTAATTTGACTGTAGAGTCGCATTGGAAGAAGTTTGCCATCACCGTGGGGCACCTTTCATTCCCTTTTTCGGTGCACCAACGACGTCACGCGAAATCATGACCGAATTTGGGTAAGAGAAAAATCGGAAAATGGAGAATCACTGACTGACTTACTTTCATATCTTACCTCTCGATTCACTCACTCACTCACTCACTCACTCACGTCCTCCTCGCCCCGAACGTCTTTCTTTTTTTCTCTTTTTTTTTTTTTTTTTTTTTTTTTTTTGTTTTTTTTTTTACGGCCCAGCAATTGATTCACCTCTCAAGCAGTGTAAGCTGATTTTTTCCTAGCCTCCCTCCTTACGAATGAAGAGAAGTTGTTCCCCGTCCTTGTGCCATTCCTTCCCCCCAGACTACGATTAACTAGTATTACACTACTACGACTATCATCCATAGCGCGCGGGCGGGTCCTGCAATTCCGCCGAAGATCCCTGAGATTAATTGATCAATGATGCGCCCCAAACCGGCGTCTTCCCTCCAGAAGACCTACGATGACTGTTATCTGATGTGCTCGACTGCCGTCTACTTCGAAGGACAGGTCTGCCATTCTGCTTTCATCAATTGACTCCATTCGTCACTGATCGCTCTCTCGCACAGAACAACGAAGAAGAAGCTTTAAAGTCTTGGCGCTCCGCCCTCGAAACCATCTACTATCATAACGCCTATCGGGTCCCCTCCAAGTACACCCCCAAGAACGAAACGGAGAAGGCTCTTCAGGATTCCATCCGCCAGTTAGAGCTCCAATGCCGGGAGCGCGTCGATCTACTCGAAGCCCTCCGTGAGAGCAGAAAGGATACGTCTGGTAAATCTCCTCCATTTACCACTGGCCATCGCGGTTGGATTGGAGAGGGAACTGTCCCCGCCGTCGGATATACCGATCTATCTAAACCGCCCACCATCCCCGGACGCCCCCCACCACCTGTGACCACCGCTAGCTCGGAGTCTACTGGGAACGAGACAGGCTCATCAACCCCAATGGCGGGTCGTCCCGGATTGCGTAAGACGCAATCCTCTTCGGCAAAGACTACATCGTCACGCAATTCCAGCCCCGAGCGTCGGAAAGCGATGCCGTCTACACTACGCAACGCCGATTTGAAGAAGCCCGTCAAAAAGAAAATCAGCCCGCGACGGAAAGACCTGCGGCCGGCCGCAGCTTCTCAAGCCGCAGGCCTGGCTTGGGGAAGTCTTTATCGCACTCCATCATCAGAGAAGACCGTTAGCGATGCTGCCCTAGCCTCCTCCCGTCTAACCGCTGCAAATGATCCCAGTTTTCGAAAGGAGTCAACACCACCCCGTTCGAAATCCGGCGATGGGGTACCCCCACGGAAAAGCGTGCCTCTAGAGGATTCTGGAGAGGAGCGCCGCTCCGGGAGGAAACTTCGCGTCCCCGGTCAGACACCGCGACGGTCACCAGCAAAGTCTACTCCCGCACCAACTTCAACACCTACATCCACCCCTCAGGCTCCGGCTGGCATCCGGCAGCCGTCGGCAAATCGCACCCATTCCGCTTCTGTCTCGACGGGCTCCAAGGATACTGTTCAACCACGTGCCTCTCCGAAGCCTTCTGTCAAACCAAAGCCCGTAGCGTTGAGGTCGTTTTACCAGCCGCCCACGCCTTCTGGAGGATCCGCGGGGGCTGCAGATACCGCAAACAACCCACAGGCTGGGTCTGCAAGCACGCAGCGAAGAATTACCCCTGCTTCCACTGGTGAAGATGCGTTGAGTGACAATATAGATCGCATGTCGATTTCCCGAACGAGCCCCGAACGACGGTCTACTCCGCGCATCAGGCGCGCTATCACCCCACCGTCATCTAGCGATCCCGAATCTCTTGGTCCTAAATCAACAGATGCCGACGAGGACGAAGTGGACGTTGAGGACGAGGATGACGCATTTATGGATATACTGAACAAGCTCCCAAAAGGGGTGGATGTGGCAACCGCCCGACAGATCCTTAACGATATTGTAGTCCGCGGGGACGAAGTGCACTGGGACGACATTGCCGGTCTAGATGGGGCCAAAAAGGCCCTCAAAGAAGCCGTCGTCTATCCGTTCCTCCGTCCGGATCTTTTCTCTGGTCTGCGAGAACCAGCCCGGGGTATGCTCCTCTTTGGACCTCCAGGGACTGGTAAGACGATGCTTGCGCGCGCTGTAGCCACGGAATCCAAATCGACATTCTTCTCGGTTTCCGCATCCACATTGACCTCAAAGTGGCACGGTGAGAGCGAAAAGCTTGTCCGCGCCCTGTTCGGTCTGGCCAAGGCGCTGGCGCCGTCGATCATCTTTGTGGACGAAATTGACTCACTATTATCCGCTCGTTCGTCCGGCACGGAGAACGAGGCTTCACGACGCTCAAAGACCGAGTTCCTGATCCAGTGGTCAGATCTGCAGCGCGCCGCAGCAGGTCGTGAATCAACTAAGGACAAGAAAGCTGGCGGAGACCCCAGCCGGGTCCTCGTCCTCGCCGCAACAAATATGCCCTGGGACATCGATGAGGCCGCACGCCGTCGCTTCGTCCGCCGACAATATATCCCTCTCCCGGAACATCACGTCCGCGAACAACAACTCCGGACATTACTAAGTCACCAGGTGCATGACTTGACAGATCAAGACATCGACACTCTAGTACAACTTACAGACGGTATTGCTCTCATTTACAATTCCTCCCCTAAATACCAGTATCCCAAAGCTAACCAAACATAACCAGGCTTCTCAGGCTCCGACATAACAGCCCTCGCCAAAGACGCCGCAATGGGACCCCTCCGCAACCTCGGCGAAGCCCTCCTCCACACCCCTATGGACCAAATCCGCGCCATCCGCTTCCAAGACTTCGAAGCCAGTCTCTCCTCCATCCGACCCAGCGTCAGCCGGGAAGGACTAAGAGAGTACGAAGACTGGGCTCGACAATTCGGCGAGAGGGGCGGCTAAAACTTTCCCCCTTATTCTACCTCTCTATATCTCTTCTCATTTTTCTATTTTCCTTATGGTTCACCTTTGGGACCGTTGCATTCATGGAACTTGCAGGGGTCGGGGAAAATCGGTTTGGCTGGGCGAATTGGTTTTGATACAATACGATACGATACCTTGGGCTATGGTACTCTGGTTTTGGTCTGCGTTATGTGGTACGGTACGGTATGGTATGGATTATGATTATGAATGACTGCAGGATGAATGCAAATAGGAGTGGATCGTTTGGAACTTATGGACATGTATTGTACGTAGTGAGTGAACTGGTCCGGGGTCAGGAACAGACCGAATATTCTCTCAATGAATGGATATAGATGGCTCTGTGTATGAATACTGGTGCTGTCCCTTGTCGTATGAACATAAGTTCTTTTGGGAAGTCCATTTAACTACCTTTGTTGTTATGGTGTAATTCTCGTTTAGCAAGCTGTACTGCTTTTAATTGAACTCTGGGTCATTGTAAAGAATAAAGCATCAAATACAGTAACTCTGGACTTTAGATAACTAAACCTCCTACGTAAGTATAACCATATCAATATACAAAGTACAACCATGTATAATACAATACAATATAATTTATATACTACGAAACATGAACCAAATAAATAGAGTAGGTAATAGGTATAAGTAGAACAGTACATCATCAAGGAGAAAAAAAGGGCAAGACAAACACATGAGGAAAGCAAGGAGTCTGGTTTAAACTGGTTGGATATCCCGGCTGGCATCAAATCGAGTCAGATAGAGAGGGAGAGGGCGCGAGAAGGTAAGCGTCAGAACATAGTGGAATAATAGAAGTAGTAAAAGTGGCTTAAATGAACTGGACTGAAATCTGTATGTCAATTCCGGAACCCTAATTCAATGCGAGCACAACACCCAACCATTCGTTGTAAAGACGACGCAACGGAACAAAGGGAATAAAAAGGAGAGAAAAGTAGAGATATAATCGATAAGGACAAGACAAGATAAAAGACCTGGTATCGTATTCCACTTCCACCACAAACCCGTTAAGTTGTATACCATGGACATCACGGATGAACATTTTTCGTCTTTCACAGATCTATCAGGCTGCCTCCAGCCTGAGGCTGCTGCTGGTATGATTGCTGTGCACCCCAGGGGTTGTTCGTGGGCTGTGCGAAACCGGTCTGCTGCTGGGCGAATCCTGTTTGCTGGGGGACGAACCGTTGTTGGGCGAAGAATGGGTTGTTGCCGGTCTGGTTGGCGCGTAGGCGATCGAGACCTTGACCAGCAGAATTGACGAAGGTGCCGGGTGCGGTGTGCTGAGCGGGAATACGGAGGTCGCCGACGTTTCCAAAGGTATCCTGGCCGTCGCCGCTGGCGAGGAGTGCATTGAGACGAGCGTGATGCGGGTCATTCATCTGAGGCGGGGTACTCTTGGGTGGTGCAGGGGCCACAGGGGCCTGGTAGTTGGCGATTGGATTAAAAGCAGTGGTCGGGCGCTCCTCTGCCAGCGTGTTCAACGATGGGTGTCCGGACGTCGCGGGCCTGGTCTGGAACTGCTGCGGCTGCGGCTGTGTGCGCTGAGCGAATGGATTGTTGGATCCGGTCTGCATTGGCTTCAACATATCTCCCGGCTGCGGGCTGCCAGAGGCCCATGGGTTATTGCTGCCCGACGAAAGGAAGTTATCTTGCGGCTGTTGTTGTTGTTGTTGCTGCGGTTGGGGTTGTTGCTGTTGCTGGGCGAACATGTCGGTGGTACCATAGGGATTGTTGGTGTTAAACGCTGTATGCTGCGGCTGCAGGGTTGCCTGGGGTTGTAGCGTGGCCTGTGGCTGCAGGAAGTTATTCTGGGGCTGACCGTACGGGTTCTGGTCAAAGGCTGTGGGCTGGGCCTGGAATCCATTGGTGTACCCATTGGGCATTCCAGTCATCTGTCCCTGGAATCCAGTCTGCTGTGCGTATTGGTTGTTCAAGTACCCAGTCGACAGAGGCTGCTGAGGGTTGATTGGGTTGCCGAACCAGTCCACCGCACTTTGCTGTTGGTATCCCTGGTTGTAACCGGTGGGCTGCGCCGGGGCGGCCTGGACGGGGGTATTATCGAAGAGGGATTGCGCGTTGCTCTCTTCCAGTTCGCGCTTGCGAAGCTCTTCCTCTTCCTTACTCAGTTTGATCGCCTTAGCTAGATCTTCGTCCTCCTCCCCGGTTTGCATAGAGCTCTTCGCCCGTCGCTTCCGTTCTTCTTCGGCCTCATGTTTGCTTGCCTCAATCGCCAAACGGTATTCAACATCGTCATCGTCCGCGGGACGCCGACGGCGCTCGTTTCGACGCGGTTGTGGTTCACTTCCATGGCCTGGGTAGTCGTCTAGTCCGCTCACCCGCGATTTCCACAACTTTCGGTCAGAGCGCTCACTTCGCAATCGGTCTTCATCCATCACCAGGGTAGTGAGCTCTTTAGCAGCGACACGCACTACGTATCGTTAGCGGGCAACCGAGCAAAGTGAGGATCATACCGTCCGCGACCTACCATTTTGACCGACATCTCTGCCATCCTCATCCACGTATTGGAACTCGCGCAGGGTCTTGATGATGTAGACATTCTTCCGGGCCCACGTCACGACTAGCTCTGAGCCTTCGTGGAGACAGTAATCTAATACCTTCAGGGACTTCAACACGTGACGCCAATTCTTTCCCTTGTCATTTAGTCGCTTGTCCAGCATGTCCATAATCTCGTAAAAATCGGTGGGACTGTACGTACAACGGGATTAGTTTGGTCTAGAGGGGGGAGAATCGCCGGGGCTCAATGGGTCGGTCAGGCCTACCTGCTAAACGTCAGGGCGGCAAGCTCTGCCATTTCTGTACCGGTCGGGCCCCAGGGGTCATTACTCGTTGCTGGAATTGTGAGCGTCAGCCGATGTCGAGGCAGGTTCAAAGGGCACAGGTAGCGACCGACGAGCAACCGCCACCGATCAATCATTACCCAGCCCGAGCGCATTACAGACGAAATTAGCAGCACATACCATTTCGGACCTTGACCTGGACCGACGAGTAACCCTTGGTGACATTTTTTACACTGCGCACGACTTTCGACATAGTGACGACAACCGGACACTCGGGCTCAATGGGAGGATAATCAGAAAGGAAGTAGGGTAAAATAAGCAGAGCTCCTGGTGTAGCGGCAGCTCTCGGGAATCAGGGAGAATCAGGCGCAAACCGCCCAGAGGAGCGTCGGGGTTGAATGGGTAGCGGTGGAATCGTTGATGAGTTGCGGAGGTGAGTCTCTCTCTCTCCTTATCGCGGGTGGTTGCAGTGGAGTTGGCAGTGGCAGTGTGACGGAAGGCGGGCGTATGAGATTGAATGTCAGCCACCGCTCGGAATCGTCCCTGAGAACACTAAATGACACAACGAGGGTATCGGGACAGGGAGGGACAGCCGGAAGGAAGGAAATGGAGAAATCGAAGGAGAAGGTTTAGTAGTGGTAGCGTTTGGAAAGAAGCGGTAGAGAGAAAAGAAAGTCGCGATGACGAGCAGGAAAGTTCTTTGGGTTTTTGGTGGCCACCGGTCGATGGCTGACGACGACCAACGCCCAATCGTAAGGAAACCTCCCGATTAATTCAGGTTCGAACCACCCCCACACACACAACTAGTCCCCTTCTCTCTCTCTCGGAAAATAGGATCTTAAATATGTAATCACTTCCAGTCAAAGCATTTGTGAACAGAGATCATGTCTGAACCGAGAGATAAAGCAGATAGAACTCTGGCGGACGAGGAAATAGGGGTTTGAGTTGATATCCACCGGTAGATCTGTCCCTGAAGAGGCACCAGTAGGTGTTCAATGGATTTTATAACAATGGAATCCGTTACTGTGCAAGAGTTAGAAAGGTGAAGAAAAGAAGAACCGGAGAAGAAGCGAAGAGGGACAATGAAGTTGGAGGTTCGAAAGAAGGAAACGCAAGTTCCAGAAGTATACAATCAGTCAGGTCATCAGTCATTCAACTATGATTATTCAGTTACTGTATGTACAGTATTATATAGTATGGAGATACGGTATGCAACGGGATTTCCAACTGTACAACGGCCCGAAAGACCCTTTTTTTAAGTTTCAGGGTGTTCTGTCATTTTACCAGATTCGGTAGTACTCCATAGTATACATGTTATTATACATGTATACATTGTCGAGAATGAAATTAACCGTCATTTTTCTTCCAATGAGTCGATACAAAATACTCTGTTCCCTTTTCAAAGTTGATATAGAACTCCACCCCGTACCATACTCTAAACTCTTCCGATAGGAATGGCCTGTTCAACCCCCCCACTACTACTAGACTAGCTCATCAACCACCTGCAGCCCTGATGATGTCGTGGCGCCGTGGCAAAGGACGGCCGCGTACAACAATGACTTGGCATCCTTTTTCAATATGGGAAACTCTTCTTCAACCCCTCTTTCCTCCTTACCCAGTTTCCCAATGAAGTGAATGGTTCTTCGTTTGATACGAGAATCTTACAAAGTGACCATACGGCAGAACTCCAGCCCTGATTCATGAGGGTGTGCTTGTACATATATTGAGGATTGTGGCGGTGCAGACATAACTTTGAAGGTTTTACTAAATGCCAAAAATGTACCAACGACGTCATAAGGCAACGTGCTTTATATGTGTTTTTTTTTAAAAAAAAAAAATTGTTTAGATTTTAAAATTTCCCACCCTTCTATATTTGACGGTTCACCCAAGGAATTAAACCTACTTTTCTCCACGGAATTTCTACATCTTTTCAGAAATAAGGATGGGGGCCTAATCGGTACCGCTTAGGCAGCAGTCCATTTAATCTAGACACTCGTACTCGTTCATCCGATGCCACAACTGGTTTGTTATTGGTCCAGCCACCAGGGTGATGCTACTTTACGAGCTTTCCGGGTCTCTGGTATATAATAATCTTCTTGCTTAGAATGGGATCAGACAAGCGAGTGTGCTTGCCACAGAGGTTAAGGCTGCGGTAGAGAGGACAGAATTCGAGAATTCTTCTCAAACATGATGCTGCTTGAGAGAATTGGCACACAAATATGGCGCTTTTGCAAGGCTGGGTGCCTTGTCAACCAACGAATGAGACTAATTTGGCTGTAGTGACAACGGTAGCACATACAACCATCGTTGTGGCTGCGTCTGTGTGGCTGGAAGTGCGTGAAAAACATCAAGAGCTTGTCTAGAGAGCCTAAAACGAACTCTCGATGATACAGGAACATCGCAGATCCAGGATCACCCCGGGTCGAGGACCTCTTATAGTTAGCTATGGTCCATAATCGGCTAGGATTGGTGATATTTAAGGGCACGCTATGGCGTTGTTACCCCTTAAGAGGATACTTAACGACCTACATTAAGGGAAACATGAACGACTCAGTTTACCAGTAGAATCTCCATGATCCATGGCCAATAGGTTTCAACATGAGTGGTGCATTGAGTCCAATTTAGGCAACTCCTACCACATACCCTAATCAGAGGATTGTGCAGCAGCTTTGGGTGAAACTTCGCTCTCTCATTTGCCTAGTTCTTCCCAGAGAAACTCTGACGAGAATGAGGTGTCCTCAGGCTCCTATTCGCATTCGATAGATTAGCGCGGAAACGTTGTAGTCCCGCTATGTTAATTCAGCTCTGACAGTCTTTGCGTTTCCTTACCTCGTCTGACCAGTAAATACCCCTTACAATATGGATTCTCATAGCATCCTGTGATACGATCAGAATGTGGGATTTTGGAAGTAAAGGAACAAAGAAAATATTATGTAAAGGATTTCATTTTTCCATCGGTCTAGATCGTAGTCGTCATTCAATTCCCAGTATGCCAGTCAACGAACAAAAGAATCCGAAGAAGCGAACGAAAGCAGGAATAGCGCATCGAGACTAGGATTGTTCGCTCTCCATGCTCAGATACTTCGCTTCCGCCCCCTTGATGCAGGCAATGTTGGCCCCCAGTTTGTTGATCGTCTCCATGTACTCGTCGTAGGGGTCCGAGTCGAAGACAATTCCACCACCCGCTTGGAGGTAGGCCACCCCGTCTTTCACCATCATCGTCCGCAGTGCAATGCAGGTATCCATAGCGCCCGGCATTTCTGTTGCTCCGTCTGTGCTGGCGATGTTGTACCCGAAGTAGCCCACCGCGCCAGCATACACTCCGCGCTTCTCGCCTTCCAGCTCGGCAATCAGTTGCATAGCCCGCACTTTGGGCGCCCCAGAGACCGTGCCAGCGGGGAAGATTGACCGGAACGCGTCGAACCGGGTCTTGTCCGGCCGCAGAATACCCGATACCTGCGACACCAGGTGTTGCACATGCGAGAACTTCTCAACCACCATCAACCGGTCCACCTGGGTGGTCGTCGGGTCACACACACGGTTAACATCATTACGTGCCAGATCCACCAACATGACGTGCTCCGCACGGTCCTTCAGGCTTCCTCGTAGCTCCTCTGCGAGTGCCTCATCCTCCTCGGGGGACTTGCCACGCTTGACGGTGCCGGCGATGGGATGCGTGATGATACGACCCTTTTCCTCCTTCGCCAAAAGTTCGGGACTAGCGCCAACGAGCTGAAAATCTTCGCAGTCGATGTAGAACAGGTATGGCGACGGGTTGACTGTGCGCAGATGACGGAAGAGGTTGAATGGGTGGAGGGAGGTTGGACGCGATAGCCGTTGCGATGGCACGGTCTGGAAGATATCGCCTTTGGAGATGTGCTCCTTGAGTTTCACCACGTGTCGCTCGTACCCCTCGCGCCCGATATTGGACGTGTACTCCTGGTTGGGAATGATCGGGCCTTGCGGAGGTAGCGGGGTCTCGGGTCGGAGGAGTCGTTCGATAGTGCGCTTGATCACGTCCTCGCCTTTCCGGTACTCGGTTTCAAAATCCGACTCATCATGCGTGATAGGAATGAAGGTGATGATCTTGATGACCTGGTAAAAGTGATCGAAGGCGACAATGGTATCAAACAGCATGAACAGCGACTCTGGGATTCCGAGCACATCCTTCAGAGGCCGGGCCGTCTTGGGCTCGAAGTACTTCACACAGTCGTATCCGACGTAACCGATAGCACCACCTGTGAGTGGTGGTAGCGTCAAGCCGGGTACCGTCGCAACACGATATTCAGCGATCTCCCTTTCCAGGATCGGAAGGGGATCGCACTCGGGGCCGTGGCCAGGGCCGGTCTTGAGAACTTTGCGGGGATCTTCATTGCGTCGCAAATGCACAAGTTAATGGAAGCTCCAACAAGGTGACCAGAAATGGGAAAGTATGCATACCAGCTCCCACAAAACTATATCTCCCAATTGTCTCCGTGGTTGCAGCACTCTCGTAGAGAAATGATAGTTTGGATCTGCGCAAGAGTTGGCCGTATCAGCTGCCCCGCTATAGGCAAAAGGGCGCGTGGGGCTCTGGACTTGGAACTCACTTCTCGGCAACCTTCAAATATGCCACTGTGGGCGTCAAGAGATCGGCCGGGATAGATGCAGTAAGTGGTAGTAGGTTCGGGGGATATTTGGCATCTTTCGAGTGGCTAATTACATCCTTTGCTGTCTCAAGCGACGGCACAACGGTGATCTGAGTCATACCATTCGGCGGCGTTAGCAGAAGCTCGCTTTATTCAAAGGGGGGTTACGAAAAATGGACGAAGAGAAAATCGGTGTTGAATAAGATGAGATACTCACAAGGGGCGCCATCCTATCAAATCTGGCAGTGCCAATGAACTCCGAGTCGATAGTATGCGGGGAGGTGGAAGAGTAGAAATGAAAGTGGACGGAGAGAACGGAGATAAACGCAATTCGAAATCGCTAAAATCAGATTATATCAATGCGGCAACTTGCTGGTTGGGCCCTCACAACTGAAAAAGAAGCAGGAAAGCAAAAGAGCCCGTCTGGAATAGGCTGCGTTTGAAATCAATCGAAATACCAGGTTTCTTTTTCGTTTCCTCTATCTTTCGTTCCTCTTTTTCTAATTCCATCACTTATCAGGAAACTTTTTGGCCGGCGCTTCCATGGAACCCCAATACGGAATAGTCTCCCGGCTTAGCATTATTATTATTATCAATTGGCAATTGATGACCTGACCGTCTTTTTCTGCAGCCTTTCCTCTCGGATTATGACAAAAGAACTTGCCCTTTCGCCTTTGTTCACTCGCTCGCAGTTTATTTGGTCCATTCTGATCGGTCGCGCACAGGCGTTTTGGACAACACTCACTCTCATATAATACTTTTACTAACATCCAGGCATACCTAATCTATATAATTTGAACGAACTGATTTTCTACGGTCCGATAATACATGACTGGCCTCATTCAGTCGCAACGACCCTTGTCCTTGAAGATTCGATAATTTGCTATCTTTCGGACGCTCTTCTATACGTCCAAACACCCCCGAAGAGAGTACTACTACCCGATGTCCTGCACCCACACATACTTGCAGCAAATCAAACATTCCTATCCGTTCACTTATCTACACACGATGCAATAGAACGGCCAAATAGCAGGAGAAAAAGGTACCATATATACAGGGAAAACAATAATCGGTCATGGAGAGTTCACCGTGCCCGGCCCACTTGGATCAGGTTTCGCCTCCGCATTCCCTTCCGGAACACACCTGGGAGACGGATATGTCGCGCCCTACTTCTCCCTCAGATGTCCATGAAGACGTAACGCCTCTGCCACAGCGGCTTGCCAAATTAGCACACATGGTCTCGGAGAACGCCAACGTGTCAAGTGAGGATACGACCACGGCCCACCACTGCCTCAACACTCTGGAAGCCCTGTTGGACCCACGACCGAAACTCACTCAGGAAGTCGTCAAATGCCGACCTACACGTTCCTGCCCAGAAATTTCACACCCCGTGGCTTCCGCAGCCTCCTGCTCTGCCCCGATGGAATACCGTGCTTCATCCGCCTTCGCGCCTTCGCGCTCGCAACTCATGGCTCTTTTGAACGAAGTAACCGCATTAAATGCCGACTTGAACCAACGCCGCAAAGAATCATCTCAAATATATGACATCCTTAGGCGTGAATCCCAGGGGTTGTCGCGAAGGATATCGGAGCTCGAAAACGTGGTCCACGAGCTGTAAGCTAATATCCACCAAATCGCCACCTTCATTTCTGGGCTAATGCGTAACTCTGTTCGATGTAGGGAAACAGACATAATGGAAGGCTCAGCAGAACGTGAAGCACTTCATGGTACGGTTCGCGGACTCGAAGCCTGGGTTAACGGATGGCAGAGCGAACCTAAACCGGGGACATCGCGACAAAACAAAACAAAGCGGTGGATACGGCGTAAGCCCGAGGAGCGCTATGAGACCGATGCCGAAGCACTTGTAGAGGGTATAACGGCGTGGATGCGTGGCTGGAAAGATGTCGAAGAAGGCTTCCGCGTTCGTGAACGATGTCGGCAGGAGAGAAGGGAAGAAAGGCAAAGGCGTACTAGATTAGCCACAGACCCTGCGGATGACACATAATAAAAACCATCATATGATCTGGGAACGCCGAGTTGCCGGATCTGAGATTAAATGCGGCTGAAAGCGACTCCGGCGTAAGAAAACCGAGACCGAGGATTTGCCGAAGAACTGATGCGAAGCCCAAGACAAAGGAAGATTCTGACATTCCGTAATCATGTCGACCAAGAAGCAAGGGTACAGTGGAGAATTAAGAGAATAGAATGCGCCAATGTGCCCACCGCAACCCACTATAACCGCAATTCACTGCTTTTCTGTTGGGAAACCCCGAGTCTGCGCCGACATGTACCATCTAACCAAACGGTTATTGAATAAATTAGAATGTTGAAGGAAGAAAGAACACAACAAGAACCTCCTGAAGTGACGCTGCTTGCTAGCTGTTGATCGACTTTGATCCAATTCCTTGCGCTCCACCTAGCCGCACATAAATGGGAGGAATGACCTGGGCGAAGGTTGATTAGGCGGTCTGGCGGCAAACGATCCAGAAGGCCAAGAGCGAAAGCTAAGGTATACTTGTCGGTTGTATTCGTTGACGAGGATATCATGAATTATGTAGTGAAAAGTTGTAAGATCGCATATAAGAATATTATCAAGGTGTGGTTAGATATTCCTGCGTTCTGAGCCCAACATCACGTATTTGCCGTTCGTAAAGTCTCAACTTTGCATGTTTATGATAGCCAACTACCCAATCTCAGTCAGTCTGTTAATCTCCACTTAGGTACGATAGACAACATACCTGCTTGCCAAAGCCAAAAGCGAGTCGTTTACCATCACTGTCCCATGCAAGAGAACGGTCCGGTATTGGCTCGGCGTTCCCATTGTGTCCATTGGCCAAGTGGTTTTGTCCTTCTTCGATCTTTGCTCGGTCGGTCCCCGGCACGGACCAAGTAGCCATTGCGGTGCCACCCCTCTGTGAATTCCAGATGAACAATTTCTCCTTGCTTGCAGCAGCCAGAGCATACCCGTCCGGAGAGAAACTGCTGGCGAGGGCCGGTGAAGATGGACCGAGGAACAGACGATGGATGCAATCAAATCGTTTTGCGTCCAGATCAATATGCCATACTTTGACTGTATCATCAGTAGATGAGGAGGCTAGAACCAAAGGATGGCTCGCTTGTGGTTGCTCTAGTGTGTTTGGCTTAAGCTCTATTGCCGTGATGTCCCCTTCGTGTGCACTATCGAGGTGCATGTCATGAGTCGGAATCCAGAACGCAGCTGCAGCAGACGATGCAGCCACTGCCACAGAGGAGGAATTGACATTTTCGGAACGAATAAATGTCCAAGGTCTATCGGTCTCACTGGTAAATGTCTTGGAGATGTGGATGCTCGAATCGACATCGCATTGGTAGACCGTTCCGTTACCCGAAGCGTATGCTTTATTGCGTCCAAGCCAACTGAGGTCATAGATTGACCCATCGATTACCTGTGGAGAGGGGAACTCGTCCGGTCGCAATGAATCATCCCAGAGAGCCAGCTCGGAGACTTTACTATCTGATGCCACGACAATTAGATGGGTGCCGCTCTCGGTCCAATGCAATCCAGTGATCATTCTAGGTACTTCGGGCAGGAGGTCAACGGCATTTCCGGCGACATCATACATAGTGATAGACCCTCTCATGTCGTTGTATGTGGCTACGGCCAACTTCTGGCCCGTAGGGTCCCAGGCGACCGCGGAGACGCAGATATTATCACCCTTACCCTCCACAAGTTTCTCTTGCACTGGACTCGCGGATGACGGCATCTTCCATAGACTGCAAAACGTCTCGCCGACTGCAACGACAACGGTGGAGTCATTTGGACGCCACAATGCACGGGTCACGTGGCAATCATCAGCCACATTCAAGAGGGCGGTATCGGGACTAAGGTCGGCAGCCTTGGCGGGTGTGATCTGGACGCCAACGCTGTGGCCGTTGGTCAAGGTGAAAGTCGGCGCCGCGGTTGGTTCCTGGTCTTGCGAGTCCGGTCGGATGCCCATGCTCACGTCCCCGTCCCCATCCACAGCAGTGTCAGCCACGGATGGTGATGCAGCTACTGCGGATTTTGTCTCATTTGCAACACCATTTGAATCAATTTCCATTGGAATTTCGTCCCCGTTGGTCTCTGCGCGGTCACTCTTACGGGTTTTCTTAGCATTGGGGACAACTTGAGGTGCCGCAGGTTCGCCTGTCAAGTGACCGTTGATCACGCCGTCGCGCGCGACTTTACTCGTGGGCGAGACAGGTGCCTGATCTGTGCCATTTTCACCCGGGCCACCCTGACTTTTCCGCGGTTCCGCTTCCAGCACCGCTGGTCCAAAGAAATATTCTGAAGGTGAAAAGGCCCTTGGATTCCCATCCTGTAGAACTCATTAGTCATTGATAAACAGATATTCTTCGAAGACACTAATTGAAGAGAAAGAGAAAGAGTCGACCGCAAAACAAAAAAAAATTAGGTCCGGTAGAGCAAGGTAACGTGCCTTATCGAGTGACTGTTCGAGCTCGTGATATTGGAGACCCTTTTGAACCAAAGACACCAACGCATGAGTTTTTATATAAGGAGCGAAAGGTAAGCTCTGTGGGTCATGATTCCATGCACGCTGCAGTGTTACTGCAGCTTCACCGTGACCTGCGATGTAGGTTAGATGAGAATCTTGGAGTTTGAGGATACGTCAAGTCCTGTCAAACGAGGATACCGGGAAACGCGTAAGAAGAAGGGGGAAATAATATAAAATATCAAAATATAAAAAGAGAACTAAGATTGAATAAAAGGGGGGTTGAAACCAACCTGATTCTTGAAGATACCTAGGGACTACAAGTCAGTGACATGTACGAAGGAAATAGACATCAGGGGGGGTTATCATGAGCTATCAGTGGTCCTGAACTCGGATGTCGGCAGAGAACCTTGAATTAGAACGTACCTCCAGATTAGGTAGTTGACATGATGCGACGTAAGATCAGGATGTGACATTGTTACATGTATGACAGCTAGTAAGGTGGAGGATCCGCTAGCATGCCAGGAATAATAACAGAAACCTCCGCTGAACAGATTGCAGAAGGATAACGGTGGGTGATCGAGAAATTGAAAGATGCGAGAAACCCGAGATATAGGCGAGATTAGGCCGTGTAAACCGATGGAACCTGTCTGCTGATAATACAAATTTCTCTCTCTAAACCACCAGGACGAATGACGGGAAGTTCCAGTTCGGCGTCGGAAAGAGCGTGATTGCCAAAAGCTGAGCTGGGCCGCAGCAAGGCGTGACAAGGGAAAACCGTAGTTGAAGGGGATGGGATATAATGCAGAGAGTTAAGGTGGTGTGCAAATGCCGGGGGGTAAGATCATCAATTAAAGGGTAGAGGATTGATGAGGGTTCTAATGAGACCCTTGAGCAGCGTTAAACAAGGGGGTTGTGGAAAAGAAGTCGCAAGAGTCGGAAAGAGAAAGTGAAGAATGAATATCGAGACGGGTCGAAATCGACACCAACGTGTGGCTTGAGATAGCAGACCCGCTAGCGAACTGCAATGGTTGGAGCTGTACCAGTACGGTTACGGGAGAGGGGTGGACAAACTGGAGGGCTGGACTCCCAGAATGGGGACGACGAAAAGGAAGTGGGAAAAAAATAAAAATAAAAGGTCATTAAAATAATAATAATAATAATAATAATAATAAAGGAACAGGGCAAGCGTGTCAAGGAATGATGATCACCACCACTTCTGCAGGGTAATAATAAGGTACAGGTTGATTGACTTGATGGTTGTCGTGACTGCAAGCAGGGGAGAAAAGAAATGAAAGAGGAAGAAGTGAGGTAGTAGTCTTCAAATCTCGAACTAACACGCCAAGTTGAGTTTAGAGAGTGGGAGAAAAAAAAGACAAAAAAGAAAAAAGAGAAAAGCTCAGTGGAATTTCTCCAGGCGGCTCTGGGACGCTGTTTCAGAGGATGCCGGCACCCTTTGCCAGTCACTCTTGCAGTCAAACCCGATTTTGACTTTGCGACCTGGACTTTTGGCTTGACTCGTTGTGGCGTCCGGCCCACGACTTAGCGTGCAGTTGGGAAATCCACCGGTCCCCTTGGGTGGTTCTGACGGGCAAATGATCGGCCAGTGCGCTTGTCCGCTTCGGGACCTAGCGTTTTGCGGGTCGATTACAGTGTGATTTACACAGGGCCACGCAGTAGTAGTACTACTAGTAGTGTACCTACTTTGTGGACAACCTATTTCTATTTCCTTAGGAAGGTTCTGTTTTTTTTTTTTTTTTTTTATTCCTCTTTATTTTCATTATGTTCCTCCGCTATAATTGCACCACCAAAAAAGTAAAATAAAATCAAATAAACAGGGAACGTTCTTCCCTGCGCTTAATATTGGACTGACCTGAAATTACATAGACATTTAACAATACTAATTATATTACCCACAATAGCCATATTGAATGGGTGAATCACTGAATGTACACCTAAATATAAGTAATTCCTACTAGGAAAATTAGCACAACTGTCAGATCCTAGGAGTTTACTTTAATAAAACGGATTTGATTCGATGACTAATGAAGATCGGGTTCCTCTTAAAATTCCTGGATTTAATTCGACCTCTAGGGCGGCATATGGCGGATGGGTTCAACAAACGGAGACCCATTCCTTTCTTTCCCATTCTGCGCTTCCAATGTCAATTTATCACTTTTTTAGCCACATGGTAACCGGCTGTGCCACCTTTTATGTACCACATTGCATCTTTTCTGACTTGCCTGATAAATTATGTCTTAGGGGCCTATCGGACTGAAAGAGGAAGGAGGAAGCTCGTTCCGTAGATCTGGGTTTCCAAAAAGGATACAAATAGCTCTCATTCGAGGAGTCAAATTTCAAATTTCTGCGGTAACCATTCGTAGTGACAAGCGGAGGTCGTAACCGTTGAAATTCAAAGAGACCTTTGGTTAAGCCATCACAGCGGCAGGTAGTGACTACACCAATCACGAAACTTCGGTGTGGCCATCCACGGAGCAACTTGAAATGGGTTGCGCCTTGATGATGACATCTATTTCTTTCCCTGTCCGGTATCGATTTCATGAAATACACGGTTTCAGAGCCACAAGTCTTAGCCTTGCCAAGAATCTTGTCAGCAGACCGAGATGGTCAGAGATGAGCTGATAGCCGCTCTGAAGCAAAACGGTTGGAGTGTGTCAGAAGGGAGTTTTTACGGTTCAAAACTTTAAAGCGACATGATTTGGAATGTTTCTTTGTTTAGCGCCTTGATAGATTAGCACCTCGACATGTACATACTTACATGCATACATACATACATCGACCCCTTTACCTCGGTCGTTGGAAAAGCATACCTTAGGCGCCAAGGCTCGAGTCTCGGGTAGTGCCTCAGGTGGTCACCTTTGTTATTTCCCCGGGCGGGTGTTCAAAATAGGGTGCCCAATCAAATGGAGACGATCGATCAGAGCCTAATAACGAACCAAACCAAAGGCGGAAGTGCTGCTTGGCCCGAAATCCGCTCCAGACACCCAGTGATCAACACCAACTTTTGACACTTAATTGCCCTCGTCGGGTTTTGTCGACAGCCTGCGGCCTGCGTGCACACCAGCAGCCGCAAGAGCTCGTTTCCCACAATGGCGCTCCGAGTCAATATCCCCCCTGCGACCCGTACCTGTCTCATTAGCCTGCTCACCCTCTCCCTCCTGTACAACATCGCCCGATGGCGACAAATTGATGCCACGGGGGGCCATCCCTTGACCACGCCAGTTGTGCCCTATCTGACACTCGTCCCAACCGAGTTCTTTTATTACCCCTGGACATTTCTTACCGCGACTTTCGTGGAGCAGAATATCTTTACGGTTCTCTTGAACGGCGCCACCCTGTTCTATGGGGGCAAGTACCTAGAGCGCGCTTGGGGTTCTCGAGAGTTTGCGAAATTCATTCTGACCATCGCGGTGATCCCGAATCTGGCGATTGTTCCCATTTATCTGTTAGGAACTACCATCAGGGGTGGTTCGACCAGCGGGTATGCCTTGCTTTCCGATACCGAATGCACAACCTCTTGCGCCTTCCCTACTGACTCCCCGTCTCCAAGCGTAACCCAAATATGTGGTGGCATATCGATCCAAGCCTCCTTCCTTGTGGCCTTCAAGCAACTTGTTCCCGAGCATACTGTGACTATATTCAAAGGCCTGGTGAAGATGCGGGTGAAGCATTTCCCGGCGCTTTTCCTATTGTTAACCACGATCAGTGGCATAGTAATTGGAACACATGTGGCGGCGATACTCTCCTGGCTCGGGCTATTGACAAGTTGGACCTACCTTCGGTTCTTTAAACGGCAGCCGGATTTAACAGGTACATCTACCGACGGTTTAGGCTTTAAGGGAGACGCAAGTGAGACGTTTGCATTCGCGTGTCTCTTCCCAGACGCAATCCAGCCTCCAATTTCGTTTGTCTCGGAACAAATTTACTCTTTGCTCGTCGCATTGAAGATTTGCACCCCGTTTTCGGATGAAGATATCGCATCGGGCAACCAACAAGTTCTCGCGAGGGGGGAGGCCGGTCTTCCCACTCTTCTTAACAACCAGAGAGGAGGCATGAGGGGTGCGGCTAAGCGTGAAGAGGCGGAGCGGAGACGAGCATTGGCTCTCAAGGCATTGGATCAGAGACTTCAAGCTGCTGCTGCCGGAAGAGCGCATTCCCCGTCGCCACTGAATCAGCCAGGTTCAAGCCAAACCCAGACTGCAACACCGACTGTATCAGCAGGCCAGAGCATGTTGGGCGAGACGAACTATACGCCAGATCATGCTTAAGTTGAGAGGTACCGCTCGCTTCGTGGTTATTCAGGAGTTTAGGAATGTTTGAGGATGGCTCGCGTACGGGTATTGTATCTTGACCTGCTATTTATGAGTGTGACATTTGAATATGGAGAAATTGTAGGGTTTGGGGTGGGAAAGTTATGCTTCTGATGTGACTTGTTTTTTGTACTTGGTTGTACACAATGAGCCCGATATATATAAAGGCTCGTTGTTTTGTCTTTGCTTTGATGATATCCCGACGATGTATCTAACCCTCAAGATCACAGGGGGAAGTTAAGCCATTATTTGACACAAAAGAGACACCTAGAACTACATATTCTAAAAGAAAAATAAAATAAAGAAAAATGGCTATACTACAGTTGATCATGCCCAGCGTCTTCCGGCAACCCCAAACAGTCTTCTACCAGACCTACAGTTGCTTCAGCTTCTCAATCTCTCCCCGAGCCTCTTGTAACATCCGCTCTTGGTCCTTCTTGGCCTGGCGTATAGTGGCTAGCCGTACCCGGTCCTTCTCCGACTGTTGACGCATTTGCTCCAGTTTCTGTAGCTCCGCTTCCTCCTCGGGGGTAGCAGGCAAGTCCTGGGCCCCGGTCACCATCTTAACTTTATTCCAGATCTCCTTATGATCGAGGTTCTTCAGATCCAGAATGGCCGTCTTCTCTGTAGACTCCGGCGCCGGGGCATGTTTGTCTTCAATCTTCGCCGCGGTCAAAGAAGCGGCATTGCTCGCCCGCTCTGCGAAGTATATCGTCAAGGCTGCCGGTCCCTCTTGTTCTTGTGTTTGCTTCACGGTCATCCGGAGACCTGGGTTGTGGTACTTAAGCCGGGGCAGACAGTTGCGCCAGAAATGCCGTGCGCCTTGGTGGCCGCCATAGATCTTCTGAGCGTATGTGAGGTGTAGACGGGTGATTGCGGGAAATTCTTGGGTCGCAGAGGTAACAGAGGGAAGAGTGGCGGCACCAGTTCCTACGCGTACGTTGAGGATCTGTTGAATAAACAAGTTAGTCCATGCGCTTTTGATATCAACGGACCTCCCCTGTTATTGTTGTCGTCGTCCCAAATAGACTTGAGCGTTGGATGCCGCCGCGATCTTGTCGAAAAGTTGGAGCAATGGTACAGGTGCGGGGAATTTTTTTTATTGGGAGCATTACCCTCTGCAATTGGTTAAAACCTTCGAGTCA